GGAGGGGCAGAGGGAGAGAGTGAATCCCAAGCAGGCTCCATGCTAGCACGGAACCTGACATCTCAGGACCACAAGATCACTACCTGAGTCAATATCAAGAGGCAGACGTTTAACCTCCTGAGCCACCACACGCCCTGAAAGGATTTAAAAACAATTTTTTTTATGTTTGTTTATTTTTCAGAGAGAGAGTGGAGACAGAGTGTGAATAGGGGAGGGGCAGAGAGACAGGGAGACACAGAGTCTGAAGCAGGCTCCAGTCTCTGAGCTGTCAGCACAGAACCCACGAGCTGTGAGAACATGACCTGAGCTGAAGTCGGATGCCCACCCGGCTGAGCCACCCAGGCACCCCATGAAAGGATTTTTTTTAAGAAGAGCGTATGCTCAAGCATATTTGTAGGCAAAGTAAAAGGATCTGGTAGAAGTGAGGCGATTGAAAGTTCAAGGGATGGAGGGGGAGGGCAGATTGGTGGAAAAGTCAATGAAGAAGGAAAGAAGAGCAGAAATGAAAGGCACACATGGAGAGGTAGCCCTGGTACTGTGGTTGAGAAATAAATACAGTTGGTGATATGAGGAGGGGAGAAAGGGAGGAAGCTTGTATGAGATGGCCTTGGTTATTTCCTATATGTAGGTAGATCATTTTCAAGTGTGCAGGATGGGGGTTTGTCCCTTGAGAGACACAGGCAGGTTGGTGGTTCTCGGTGCAGGGAATGTGGAGGAAACCAGCAAGCATGAGTGCAAAGGCCGCAGAGACAGCTTCTTCAACAGCTCTTAGCCATCCAACGCTGAAGTACAGGCTGGTGAGTTTGCGTTATGGAGGTAAAGAGCCCTCTGTCCTGATTAGGATCTAAAGACCTTGTTTTCTACTTAATTTTAAGTATCATCAAGCAGCTTGTAGAGGAGGTTGTCCTAACCTTCTGTTTCTCCAAATACCCCTGTACCCTTCTGTGGTCATTTTCAAGGCCTTGCGGTAAGGACAGTGGGTGGGTCCTAGTAATCAAATGCAGTCATTTGATACACTGAGGCAAGAAGAAATTATGGGTTACCAACTTTACTCCTCTTTTTCCTCTTGACAGTTAAGGCACTATCTTGCTGGAATACAGAACAATTAGACAAAAAGCAAGGGTTCACCTTATTTCCGTGTAGGAAACAGGGAAGGCACTGTTTTTGGAGTCTGATGTCCTACATGACACAATCCCTCTAGGCCTTTATTTGTTCATCTGTAAAAAAAAAAAAAAATGTTTTTAAAAATTTAGACATGGGGTTTAAAAATTACATTCCCAGTAGGGTTACTGTGAGGACTGAATTAAGTTGTACAATACAGTGCCATGTACATAGTACTTGTTCAATAAATGGAATTATTTTCCATAGTTACTCTCAGATTCTACTTGGATAGGTTTTCACGGACTATCTTTTGAATGAATCCCGTATGCATTTGATTTTTGGAAAGTGTATTTGCTGTAAGTTAACAGTGACAAGGAAAAGGCAATATTTGTCACATGGTTAGAGGAATGAAACCCTTGGCCCTGTTTTCTTAAAAATGAAAACTCCCATAGTTAGGTTGAGTTGCTTATCATAGGCTGGGGTCTACAGTTCCCAGAGCAGCAGCATCCTTACTCAGTGATACTGGTCTGTGTGTTCTTTGCTTTGCTTCTTTTGCTGTGCTCAATGCTAACCTCCTTCCCCCGGGGCAGGCACACTAAGTGTCACTGTGACATTTCCCCTCTATTAGAAGAGGGGGCCATTGTTCAGTAAGAGTTGGCATGGGTTTACTATGAGTGACTTCAACCCATCTTGGCCAGACACATCTTGGCTTCTGACACAGTTGTTGTGGTGCCCATGTCTGTCCATCCCTGTATGCCCCATGCCTGACACAGATCCTGGGACACACTGGACACTTTTTGTTAATTAAATCAATGAGGCCGTTGTGAACATGATGAGAAGTCATGTGCTGCTGAGAGTTTGGATAGGTGGCTTTGTTAAGAAAAGTCACCACCAATAGATGTCTGGCACCCAAGCTCTGCTGGCTTTGTCTTCAGTCCAGTGATGTGCAGTTATTTTTAAAATAATGAGTTGATTGGGGACATTGATGACTCTTTCTAATTTGTGCTGGATGCAGAGAGAGCCAATATGTTAAATGGCAGGAGCAGAATCCGAAGAAATCCTAAGAAATAGTATAGCAAATGGAAAGAACAGTCCATGAACGGTTAGATCGCTTAGGTTTGAATCTTGGTTGCACCATGAACTAGGGGTGCGACCATCAGCAGTTCACTTAGCCTTTCAGCCTTAGTTTCGTCAGCAAAGTTAGGAGGAGAGTCACTACCTCATGGGGCTCTTGTGTGGGTGAAATATATCGGTGCAATGTGGAAACCCTCAGAGCAGTGCACTTGACACAGAGTAGGAATCACTTAGCTTATTTCCTACTGCCAAAAAGAATTTGGATCTGTTGCAACAATGAGCCAACTCTAACAAGATGAAATTATAAAGAAGATAAATGTAAAGAATGCTTAAGTACCAAGATTCAATTACATAAATATAAGACAGGAGCTATATGACAGAAGGAGAGATTTTAGTTAACAGTAAGCACAATATGATTTAGCTAAAAAGAAAAAAAAAATGCCTTGTATTAATACAACAAAATAACCAGAATGGTAGATGTCATGCAGAGTATAGTCCACACTGATCAACTGGCTTTGGATTATGGTATACCAGTTATGGGGTCCACCCCTTAAGGGAGACACTGACAACCGGTAGCCCACTGTGATGACATTGGCTAGTGGGGGGTGATCTTGCTTCAAAGTACCATGTAAGAAATGACCAGAAGCAGCAGGCCACGTGTGAATTGGAAAAGAGAACATTTAAGAGCACATTACAGCTGCCTTTATGGTCAGAAGGATTGCCATGGGGAGGAAGGTAACTAGTGTTGCTGTGTGACCTGACCAAGGACTGGGACAGGGATCAGTGGAGGCGCAGGGTGGCATATTTCAGCTTGACCTCAGTCAGCACTTCCCAAGCACCCGCTGTCAGAATGCAGAATGAACCACCCGTGCAGATGGAGGGCTTCACCTTCCTAAGCATGGGTAATGCAGGTGTGTTTGGGGCACGTGGGTGGCTCATGTCAGTTGAGCATCTGACTTTTGATTTCAGCTCAGGTCATGATCTCACAGTTCGTGAGATCAGGCCCTGCATCGGGCTGTATGCTGACAACACGGATCCTGCTTAAGATACTCTCTTTCCGTCTCTCTCTGCCCCTCCCCTCCTTGCACTCTGTCTTTCCAAATAAATAATTAAAAAAAAAAAAAAGACAGGTATGTGTGTTCCTTGGTGCATGTGTTAGAGAGGAATTGAGAATTAGCTGTGAGACTCGACTATGTATCACCCATGGGCCATGCAACCCCATGGTTCCTGGATTTCCCATACCTTTCCTAAGTCAAAATGAAGACACAGCAAAATGCTGGTTTTGCCTCAAAAAAGGTGGAATACAGTTCAGTTTACAGGAAGACAATAAAAATTAACCAAGAAGAGTAAAGAGTTTTTCAGCCCACTGTTTGTTTGTTTTATAATGTTTTAAAAGAACCGTTAACTGAATTTCCTTCCTAGCCTAAATCAAATTCTCTGATTAAGAATTCTTCAAGCACTCCACAAAGTAAGCAGTCTTTCCTCTCACATCTGGCAATTTTTATAAAGAGAGCAACATGCTCAAGGCATAGCTCAAAATAGAACCTAAATCTCCCAACTTGTAAATCCCTGGGCTATCTCTATACAGCACTTCTTATCCTGAACTTTCTAGAGGCTGTTTGAATTCACCCTTCTAGTCCTTGGCGGGCTTTTCTTGCAGTGATCCACACTCTGTTTGCCTGTCCAGCTTCAGAAAGGTGAGAGGACTTGGCAAGTGGAACCTCTGCGAGTAAATAGCACAGGGAAGCCTGGATGCAAAGATGTGTTAGGAAGGGTTACTCCCATTTCTGGGTGGAGAAATGGCAAGCCTTATTTTTAGCTAGGAAGACAATGGGATGAAATCATGCAGTTTGGAGGTCTTGGTCATTAATCACAAAGCGGGTTGGCCCTCAGCTCCCAAGCCAGCATGAAAGTCAGGTCATCTACTGGAAAAAGCTCATTCCTTTTCCATCTGCCCCTCTTATTTACTGATGGCACTCTGTGGCACAATACTTGACCTGCTTAGAAAAATATACCACAGTCTGCCTTCTTGGTGGGAATTTTGGTACAGTTTTGCAGGTTCTTTTCAATTCCCTGACTTCACCCTGAAAAAGACACGTAATAAGCCTGAGCATCCACTATTGCTAAATGGTGTACAACAGCAGAAGTCCAAGCAGTGTTTACTTCCAAATCTAAGAACTCATTTGCATTATTAATATGCTAACTTGTGATAAAAAGAAGGGGGTGGGAATGAATAGTTCAATCAGTGGTAGTTCTGCAAATTGTCACCAAGAGCCATTGGTTCCCCAAGGCTGATGACTGCTTTGCATTCTTCCACGGTGGACACCCAGAGCTGTTGAAAAGAATTGAGACGCTTGTCAACAGAATGCAAAGCTGGCCTTTATCAAAACAATTTTAGTCTGTGAGACTAATGACCTTTCCTTGCTGTTTGTTTTAGTTTGGAACTAAATGAGAAAATTGTTTTAGATAACAGTAGCTTGGGCCTTCCTTTCCCAAGTATTTTATTGGGAAAAGCCAAGTAGCACAAATGTTAGCGAGTATT